TCACACAATATTATAAATAAAGTTTCAAATCCAAACAACATAATAACAGAATATTAGTTTGTATTTTAGTTTGTATGTGTGAGATAATGTGTGAAATGTCAAAATATTAAATGAGGGGCTAATGTATAAATATATGATAATTAGATACTTAAATAGAAGAATGGTAAAAAGTTAGTAAAAAGAATAAAAAGAGAATATTCCTTTTTGGCGATGAAAATAGTGTAAACTGTTGGCCGGAGATAAAATATTGTTTGATGTGATGTTTACACCATTTTAGTGTAAAAAATGGTGTAAACTGTTGGAGATGGCCTTATACGAGAAGTTCGTAATTACATAGGGCAGCATTAGAATATGAAATGTAATAGTGTTGGCCCCACCAATAAAAAATCTCATATATTTTAAAAATCATATAACAACTTTTCTATTTGTATTCCGATTATTACAAAAAATATATCAAATTTTATAACTTTTTACGACCTTTCAAATAAGACCAGTATTACTTATATAAAAATAAAATATAATTTTTTACCCTTAAATGATTCATCAAGCATTCAAGCTTAGCTTATGAACCAATTTTTTCACCAAATAAGTAACTTATGATTTCGTGCGCTGAATTATATAATACTAAGAAAAAGTAAGCTTGTAGTTACTTTTCTAGCTATAGTGCCTGAAATTATTGTAGATGATCATTTTAACTATTTTCCGTATAATTTTTTCTTTATTTTATTAATAAAGTATATTTAAATTTTTCCCCCCATAAATCAGTAGAATCTGTCAACCCAAACACTTCAGCCAGAACTTTATAAATTTTAACAGAATCAACTTATTCAACTGATTTCGGTATTACCAAACATGCTCTTGAAGTGGTATAATTTTTTTTTATTTTGTACTTTGATTATTACAAAAAAATACCAAAATTAATAACTTTTTATTATCTCTTACACGACTCCAATATTACGTATATAAAATAGAAAAAAGTAATTGAGCACTTCAAAAAACTTATGTTTCTTAAAGTGTTATTTTTTATGTGTACTCCAATTGTTACATAAAATTTATCAAGTTTTACAACTTTTTGTTATATTTCACCTTCCCTCCTTCTTTTTTTACAATATTCATTACACCTACTACATATTTTCCCTTAAATATTGTGTCAAGATTTAATGTATTGATCTTTCAAACATGGAGGGAGTATTAGTTTGTTCGCTTTAGAATCTTTTTTTATGGGGCACACTATTTATTAGGAGTGGGCAAAAATCTCGGTCCCGGTGTCCCAAACTGAAAAATCCCGATACCGTTCTGAAACTATCTCGATCCATTTACGACGCAATTTTTTCATCCCGAACCGGTCCCGCACCGATATTAACCGGGACGGGACCGGGATAGCTATAAAATATAATGTCCCGTCCCGTTGTCCCGCTTGAAATTAATATGTTATTTTAAATTTCTAATGCTATTTAATAGTCAAACACAATTAAACATTCTTAGTCCTTAGTCCCCCTAGTGTAATTTTATCTTATTTCATGTCTCTCTTAGTCTCATTTCTTTTGATTAAATTTTAGTTCTCATTCCAATACTAATACATAACATATTATTACGTGAGGAATACTATTTAAGATGGAATAACTACTACTCCAAATTATAGTGTTGTTATAGATTTAATATTTTCCAAAATAACTACTAGAAAATATATATAGTGTCTTTATAGATATGATATTTAATTTAATGTGGTATTGAAAATTACAAGTGTACTACAAAAAATAAAAATATTTTGCGCTACTATTCTACTAGGGGAAACACAAGATTAGGGGGACCAAAAATATTAACAAGACAAAAATTTAAAATAGTTAATTAAAGAGTTTACTGAACTTTTTAGGGAAGCTAAATTTGCAAAAATAGTTACGTCTTTATTTTGATGTTATGCTTATTTTTATATCACATTTCACAAATGCATATTTTATGGGACATCCCGAACCGTCCCGGTTTTTCTCGGGTTGTCCCGGTCCCGTTTTAAATGGGACAACATTGGGATAAAGACTTATCTCGTACCATACCGGACCGTTGTTATAAAACCGGGACGGGATCGGGATAAGTCAAATCCCGGACCGTCCTGGACCGTGCCCACCCCTACTATTTATTCGAGTGATGACATAGAATTTGTGTACTTATATTCCGAGCTAACATTCCAGATTAGTAGTACTCCGTATGTATTTTTTATTTTTTATATTTTGAATATTGATGTCATATGAAATATAATAGAAGATTATTAATTTTGATATTTTTTTTTTTATTAATCGGAGTACAAATAAAAAAATATAGCACTTCAAAAATAGAAGTTTTTTAAAGTGTTAATTTTTTTTTCTTTTTATATATGTAATATTGGTGTCATATAAAAGATAATAAAAAATTATAAATTTTGATATATTTTTTGTAACCATTAGATTACAAATAAAAAAGTTATAGTAGTTTAGAAATAGATATGTTTTATTAGTGGGACCCATGATTATTTTAGGGAGTACTCCGTATTAATTAACCTTGTCCATGGCTTGCTACTTAGCGTACGTTACCTAAGCACCGTATATAATTCGTATATAAGCTGCGTTGAGTTAACTAGAGTTTACCTCAACATTATTTTGGGAAATAGTTTTAACCGAACCTTTATTTGGGAAATATTTTTTTATTTAACATTATTATAGGAAAAAACTCTGTTAAATACGTAATTCCGAAATAGGAGTACACTATAGCCCGTTTGGTAGCGCCAAAATCGACTGTTTTGGCTGATTCTGCTGAAATTTATGAAGTTCTGGCTGAAGTGGCTGCATTGGCTGATTCTGCTGATTTTAGGAAAAAAAAATTAAAATATATTTTATTAATAAAATAAAGAAAAAATTATATGTAAAATAGCTAAAATGATCATTTACAGTAACTTCAGCCAATACAGTCAGAAAAGTAACTACAACCTTACTTTTTCTGTTTATTACACAATTCAACGTGCGAAAGCAAAAGTTACGTGTTTGGTGAAAAACTTGGTTGATAAGCCTGATAAACCGAAAAACAGTGTTGCCAAACGGCCTCTATATATTTTGAGACTCACAAAATAAGTCACGTTTTTATTGATTAAATAAGATTAATTACATACATGTTTGAAAATGCAATCATCATAAAACCGTGTACTGCCAAAATACGACACTAATTAATTACCTCTATATAAGTAATAAAGACATTGACAATCATAATTTGAATTACACAAATGCTTTACTCTTAATTAGGATAATTTATGTAAATATATAAACGCTTTTTATGCTAAGTCAACAAATTTGGTACTCCTATTTTGAACTCACAATCATTTTTACTCTTTAGGACAATTTCTTTTAATCACATGCATTCAATGTATAGTAGTTAGTTATCCCTGAAATTTGTTATCTATGTTATACTCCGTATCTAAAACAAATATTTCTTATTTATTTTAAAAACTTAAGAATTAAATAGTCAGAATCTTACATAGTACTTCGTACTTCGTATTACATTGTTGAACAAGTATACAAAATACAAAAAGAAATGGATGAAGAATTATTTACGTCAAAAGCTATACAAATTGTATATGTATACCGAGACACACACAATTAGTATATATTGATTATATTTATATATAGAACTAAGATATAATTACAATAATATTAGCAATAATATTCATTATCCAACTATTTTAATACTCCGTATATTAAATAAAATAGTCGGAACTACTTTTGACCATTGTGTATTTAACTCGTAAAAACTAGTAATAAATTTTATCACTTTCATCAGAACTTGGGATATGAAATGAAAATCCTATTGTCAATATTATCATTATTTTGGTTAATAAATGAAAGTTGAAATTAATTAGTTGATGGCTTGATGATATTTTCTTGGCTATTCGTTTGTCTATCATTCTCACGTTATGTGTGGTGTAATTAATAAACCAACCATTACTTTTATCTTATTTATGACTCCCCGTATTAATCTAGTTTCAACAAACATCCGAAAACAGACAGACGGTCAAAATATCTGACAGCGCACAAGATATAAATCAATGGTTAATCATGAAACATCCACATATACATGTAACCATAACTATATTATATAGAAATGAAGTAAGTAGGGATGAAAAGACAATTACAATATAACTTAGGGACTAAATTCAATCAACACAGAATACATCTAAACATATACAGTAACTTGAGACATAAAAATCATTTAAATTCAATCAGATCTAATCCCAAAATATGCAAAAACAGATAAACAAGAAAGACAATATCATGTAACAGGCATACTAAATCACTGCTGAATCCACAAGCTAGATGCCAATTACTATATACTGTTTATAATTAAGTAATGTATCAATTTCAGATCTTGCATGTTTTCAACTAGCAATAGCACAATTCATGCCGCATCTAAAGCTTCAACATAGCTTTAATTAGCCAACTCAGTTCATGCTTTGATCTTTTGGTGATCTAATTAATTTAGAAAAATTAGGAATTCAATTATTTGAAATAAGATATATAAAAACCCTTATTAATATGAAGGGACATAAATTAACTCAATCAGTTAATGTAATTGAAAGGGACAAGACAACAAATAAGATAAGAATTATCTTATTCAGGAGGGTTTATCAATCCAAACATCATCATAACATTATATTCCTAGGAATAAGGGGATCTCAAGAATCATAAGCTAATCCAAATGAGGATCTGATTATAAGACAGTCATTTAAATAACACTCTCATTTGGGGAAAGACCATTTGATAAAGATGCCAAATATGTATGTAGTATATATCCACATTATTAACAAGAGAATCCTTCAATGTATCACCATATATTCCATATTTCCATCACTTAAAACCACAATCAAGATGGCTTTACATGGATGAAGTGAAATATCAATTCCCAATTATAAACTAAACATGAAGCCAAATACTTTAGACATTAAGAAACAAGATATTAGATTGTCAGGTTGAGAACAGAAGTAAGCAAGTTTAGAATGAAATCTGATTTATTTAACATCCATACTCACATACAACAATGTTAAACCCTAGAAACAACAACAACAAATCTCAATACAATGCAATAATAGAATGATCATGTAAAACCTAACAAGAGAATGATATATTTACTGAGTGCACAATAAAGTCTGATCTACCATGAAAATCTTAAACTTGCTCTATCTTAGGTCTCCTTACATATACACTACTTAGTTCATGGTTGCTTTCTAAAATTTCACATAGAGCATTATTACAAAGATGTTTTTTTAAGACTGATGAAGTATATAACTTAGGGCTTGTTTGTGAGGGTATATGGGATTTGGGAGAGTTTCTTTACTCCAAGAGCTTTATAAGGAGCGTTTCGGTTGATTCAAGATGCGGGAGTTTCAATTGAAGATAATGGTCAATTGAGAGCGATATGTACGCATAATTTCTCTATAGCCCCGCGTTGGATAGGAGAGGTCCCAAGTGTCCCGATATCCCCTCCATTGTTACCAAACGAACTCTTAATAGTTAGAGGGCGGTGGACGAGGAGGAGTAGACCAAAACACCTCATGGGGAATGTGGCCATTGTTGGATAACAAGTTTAGCGGTAAGTTGTACAAAGGGATGGATGGAGGAGGTGAAGGATCAGCAGTTCTTGCTCCACCGCCTTCATTTGTCGGCAGCGGCGGCTCTTCCTCCTGGAGAGGCAGTCTTTCGTAGGTTGCATTGGTGAAAGTGGCGGCGATAACCATCACCGGTCCCGATGCCATCAGTGCCCCAACAACAATTCCGCCCACAACTTGGCCCTGACCACCGGCCAAGTACACCGTCAATCCCGTCGCTCCGGCAGGCGAAGGAGCCGGTAAAAAAGATCCGGACAAAGACAGTATCTCGAACCTCCCCTCCAGCGTAATCACCCCGCCGGGCACCGTTGGCTGCCTGAAGCTCACATTGGCCACTATCCCGCTGCCGCTTAGGACCGACACTCCACGGCGGCGCTGCTGCGCGAAGGCGGCGATGCTCTCAATGATGTCACTCCCACTGCTGATCTCCATCACGTGGCTGCGGAGGGAATTGGGACTCTCCTTAGTAATGATGACCGGAGGTTTGGGTCGGTTCTTCGACCCCGGCGGCCTCCCCCTCGGCCGGCGGCCGGAAGTTGTGCCCTGTTCATGAGCAACGATGGCGTTTTGCTCCTCGCCGTCGTACTCAGCCTCCTCGTCCTGACCGCCGTGGTTCCCATCGCTGCCAGGGTTCTGACTCCCGCTGCTGGTGGCTTCTCCGGCCGGCAAGAACTCCTGCCCGACCCTCATCAGCCCAAGATGGCTGTTCATCTCCATTTGATTCATTTGATTCATAGATACATTCCCACTCCACCATGGATTCGCCATACCAGAGACACACTTCAAATACAACCAACAACACACAAATAATTAATCAAAAAAAGAAACCAAGAAAATAATCAAGAACGACAGATCTCCATCCATAAATATACCTCGAACCCCATCCCTTACTGGATCTTCTCAAAAAACACGAAAAAGATCAGATCTTTGAACACCCAATTTCGGGAAACAAATAAAGAAACAAATTCGGTGAAGAGATCTGATCTGGAGAAAAGTGAGAGATGAACTTACCTTATATAGAGACGACTAACAGACTGGCGCAAAGGAATCGAAACTGGGCGGAATCTGTCCAAGCAGAAACTTTAAAGACTGGATCATGGGGGGCTAGGGTTTGGGTGGTGATTGAAAGATAGATTCATGATGAATAGTAGCTTAGCTAGCTAGGGTTGTTGGTGTTTTTGCGGAATTCCATTCCATCAACTCAAAGTCTCTGCGGGTCTGGGAGTGGGTGGGGCAAGAGGACAGTGAATATAAACGGTGAAGACGGATTTTTCTTTTTCAGGAAGTGATTCTCGGGGGGTTTTGCAGAGAAAGCGTGGGGACAGCGAATGCTTTGTTGTGTCCGCCACCCAAATTACTCTGGGTGGACTATCATATCAGGAAAAGGCCTCCCTCCAATCAGGATCCTTATCATACACTCTATTTTTTTTTTTTTTTGCGAGTGAAATCTGGTATGCGCGAAATAAAGTAGAAGAGGAGAATCAGGAGATGGTTACATCAGAAAGAGGTATGGCCTGTTTTTTGAAACGGGAAAATGGCAGCATTTCTGCCTCTATTTTGAGTACCTTTGCGTGATTACCATGAAATGATGATAAAATGTGGTTATGTCTGAGATCACTGATGGAGTTTACGTAGGCAGCACTCATGATGGGTAAATATAGTGTTTTTGGAGTTGATTACTTGAGCATATTTTGGAGTAAATAGAGACTAATTAGATTAAATAAAGTCTGCATTTTGAATTTCAAAATGAAGTCGGAAAAGGATGTTATGACATCACTGAGGGCCTCTGAAAACCGACCAAACAATTACCTGAGAGAATGTAAATTACGTTATGATTACACTCTAATGGACATATAGTGTGGTTTTGTCCAAAGTTGTTGCTTGGAGTTGAATTCGAGTCCTCTCTCTTGTGACACATCTTCCTAACAGGTGAGTTACGCCCTGATAAGAAGATGGTGAATGAGATCCGAAAACTACTAACTTCTATACTCAAACATATTATTTTTATTATTTTAAGTAAATCAAGTCTCACACGCTCAAACAAACAAAAGCTCTACCTAAATGTAGAAAATACTAGACTCCTCGTATAAATCAAACTCAAATAAGCTTAAAATTAAAATCCTTAGAAAATTCGCATTTGTCATATGTTTTGAGATCCTTAGCCCTGACTTGGACCAAACTTAGGAGGTAGAAGAATGTAGATTCTCTAATTTGATACTTATAAAACTTCCTTGTCAAATTAGTTCAATGATATAAAAAGGTGTTACCAATTTACAATAAGGAAATTGTATATCCTAAAACAGAAAGAAACAAGAACAAAGCATCACATAGAGAAGGAAAGGGACTTCTATTGGCATGACTAGCTCAAATAAGTACAAGGCCTCACGCTTGTATTCAGTTTATTTTATAATAATATAGAATAGAATAATCTATTAAATTGACATTTTTTAAAATACAACTTCAACTTCCATAGCCGCAGAAGAAAAGAATTCATATGTTATCTCTAAATCTCTAATTGGTTTTTAAATGACATCTGTTCGATGTGTATCTAAAAATACGTGGTAACCACTAATTTAATGTTTGAGCAATTTTTAAATAATTGAGGTTGGAATGTTGGATTACACTAAAATTGACAACATGAATCTTCACTCTAGTGATTAAGATGCGACAAAAAACAGTTTCCACTTAATGTCTTAGTTGATCACATGAGACTATGACTCTGGAAAGTCGTGATCCGAAAACAATTTTCTATGTCATTGAACAGTGACAAATGACAAGAAAACTCGAATATATGCGAGTTTTGCACACATTTTCTCGGAGTTTTTGACACTATCCAATTCAAAACACTTTTCACTTTCGTCTAGTACATCATAATCAAGTCTGGGTAACTTAATTTTTTTCTCATTATATTTAGTGCAAATTTTTAAATTTTTAGATTTAGCCACCTTCCTAATGTTTAATCTAGTATAATTGCTCTTCAGTTCAGGTGATCCTATAATCCTGGATCCATCCCTGCCTATTTTATAATATGAAATATTACAAAAATATAACAAGATTGAAATGAATTTATTAGAGATTGGCATAGATTGTTGGGATTTCTTCGTGCTAAACAGATAATAACAAAACGACTTTGGTAAGGAGTTTGACATAGGTTTAGCTAGGTAGCATCTGCGAATTCGTGCTAAATTTGTGCTAAATCTGTGCCAAATCTGTGTCAAAAAACGTTATGACAAAAGTTACTTGCCAAATTTGTGATAATCTATATAGGCACATAATATAGTGTGTAAGAAAGGGTGATGACGTGCGTTTCAATCACAGAGATTCAATTCAGAGAATGTGTCATCACCAAAAGAGATAAAGGCATAACGAAAGTGCCATCATCTTGTTCGGTGGCTTGCTTGAGACCATGGTCCATGACATCCTTATCCGAGTTGAATTAAATCTCATCCTTTGAAGATAAACAGTTTGTGTCTCTAAATCGTGCAAGTGTCGTGCTCTTGCACTTCGAAAAAGCTAAGGTTACAACTTATATGGTCATTCTCAAAACTTAAGAACATATTTCTAAAAATGTTGATTGAAGTTTTTTATCAATACATTATATTTATCGCAAAAATTTGTATAAAAAAAGATAAGGGGTTTTCAAAAATATTATGCCGTATGAAATAAAATTGGTTTATAAGAGTATAGATAAAAGTTGCTCCGCACTATAGTACAATGGCATGGTCCGTTAAGTGTAACCTTAGCTTGAACATAAATTACTTACACTAAAGTACATCATTGCAATTTCTAATCTGTGCATTGCGATTGAGATTTAGTCTAAACTGCTCTAATTTCATATGATCTAATGCAGGGGTGGAGATAGGGTACTGTGTTGATACAATATTTTTTTACTCTAAAAATATAGATATTTTTAAAATTTGCGGAGTGTCGAGGCCAGGGTTGGCCCCTGGCTGTGCCCCTCATATAACGTAATGTTTGTTCTTTTTTTTAAATATGTTCTAGAGTGACTGGTTTGTGTGATTTATTTGATCTAGTCTAATATGATTTCGGAATGAATAACTCTATGTGAACTTGGCGTGAGGGCATATCTTTTAAGACACAAAGAAAAGATTGGTGAAGGCTCTTGATTGTTATTAATTTGAGGTGACATGTGCTTGCTTCCAGCCTCGAACAAAAATATGCATTATACGTGTTTCATGTGGCATTCTGGCAGATATATGATCTATAACAAGTTACGTGAAAACCATATAAAGTTATAATGATGATGCAATCGAAGAGTATGATATATAAAATGAATTCTAATGACAAGAAAAATAATACCAGGCCCATATTTAAGATATACTGCGTATGACTCTAATTTGTTCTCATTTTTCCATAATTCATAAATTCTATATTAATTACACGAATTTTTTTAATTTGTTTTTGTAATTGTGTGACTCCATATTGTTGAGATGGCAGCGTGACCAGAAAACTACTTAGGATGGCATATACTATGGATTACGTGTATAAAAATAATACCGTACCTAGCTACTTGTAGACGGACTATTATACAGAGTATATTTAAAAGGAAAAATTAGAAAAGTATAAGGAATTTAATACAATACTATCCCACATAATGATAAAATATAAAATCATATAAGGATGACAAAAAAGTTGTTTTATTCATAAAAACTGAAATTGTAAGGAAAAAACAACTCTTCATTTTGAAAAAGAAAAAGGTGCGAATATGCCTTTTTAGTGAAGAAATTAAAAGAACATAGCAAAATCTGGCGAATTTTCAGCCTATTTTGGGGTGTAAAATGATAAGAATAGGTGTACCTTACTATGTCGGCAAAATGGAACTAAGGTGACATAAGGCCAAGCAAGCAAGGACGATGGACTCATGGCCACTTTTACTACGTTAAGGTGATCGTGCAATAGACATTTTTTCGCTAGTACGGTTCTTACACAGATCATCTGATCTGCACAAAGATTAAAGCACTGATCATGAATCAAGTACAAATGCCATAAATTATTACTCTATTGCAAAATTATTGTCCCCTTTGGCTTTTCATACAGATTAAAATAACACCGTATCAACACTGTTTGGCACTATAGCGATACTGTTTGGCACTGTAGTAACATTGTTTGACACTGTTTTGCACTGTTTGACACTGTTTGGTATAGATTTGTTTACTAAATAAGGAAATTAAAGAAACGGGACAATAATTTCGGGACGGACCAAAAAGGAAAGCGGTACAATAATTTTGGGAGGGAGGGAGTACTTCCTATCTGGTAATAGGAAATCCCTATGGAATACTTTCATCCTCAATTTCGACTTTTAATTACATTATTATCTCTTTCGCACTTGTTAATTGTCACGCATTGTTTCATTTTTTTTTAGATATAAGATGTTTTCTTTTAGACTGTTTTCAGTCCCAGACCAGACCAGACCAGATCAGACCAGACCAGATCAGACCAGACCAGACTTCCGTAGTTATAAAATACAAAGAGACCAGACGTTTACCAGACCAGACCAGCAAATTTTGGTCCAATAGAAAACATCCATACTCTGTACGTCTTTCATGAAGATGAAGAGCCTGTTTGGTGACCCTTTTTTTCGGTTTATCAAACTTATTTGTCAGCTTTTTCACCAAACACGTAACTTTTGATTTCGCGTGCTGAATTGTGTAATAAAGCAGACAAAGTAAGGTTGGAGTTACTTTTTGGCTGTATTGGCTGAAGTTACTCCAGAGGATCATTTTAGCTATTTTTTCATATAATTTTTATTTTATTTATTAATTATAAATATTTTAAATGTAATTTTTTCATGAATCAGCAGAATCAGTCAATACAGCCACTTCGGCCAGAACATCATAAATTTCAGGAGAATCAGCCAATTCAGCCAATTTTATTGTTACCAAAAGGTGTTGAATTCAGGATGTCTTGCACAATTTTAAACCAAGGAAAATTGCCTAATTAGTATTGAAAACAATTGTGCATTTTCGACTACCATGTTTTTAATACCTAAAGTAGAAGAATTATTGTCATATTTTGGAAGTGTCGGACTATAAATATGACACTATTTTACAATCTTGACAATAATTACTCATATTTAATGAATAAAAATATGACAGTCCTATTTTAACATTTTCAAACGTTTTTATCCTATTTCGATAATTTTCCCGGGGCCTTTTAGATCACAACCAAGTGTTTCAAAATTAGAGCCAAATTACCGGGGCAGAGCATTGGGTCCGACTAAGCCGGTATGAAGAATATTTTGAAAAAAAATACCTGAAACTTTTTACATTAAAAATTTAGGCATTTTTTAATACTTTTTTTAGAGTTTTCTGTGCTAAATACGGAAAAATTACTTAACAAAAAACTTATCTATGAGCAACTTGCGGATAGTACTTGGGTTCCACCTTATTTGACGCAAATCGTTGTTTCAGTGCAACTGGCTATATATACACATGAGGAAAAAACAAAATCTACAGTTCCTTCAAATTATTGTATCCGATATCACAATTGAACAAAATGTCACTTATTTATGTTGCTGCTCTCTTCCATAGTGATGTTGTTGCTCTTCCTCCCACTCTTATCACCGAGGGTATAAAGAAAAAGTTGTTTAAGAAATTATACATAGGCTATG